GATTTTGAAACGCAAATTTCCCTCCGTACATGAGCCCCTCCGAATATAAGCCCCTCCAAAAATAAGCCCATCAAAAAGGGCCTTTGAAAAATATAAGCCCCGGGGCTTATTTTCGGAATTTTGCGGTAGCTACACATAGCCACAAATTGTTTTTTGAATGTTCTCCTCCTCGCCGTCATGGAGGTAGCTACAGTAGTTTGCGGCCATATACGTTATTTAAATCCCTCGACTCGCATGATTATGTTAGAAGACTTTGTGGATCAGAATTCCACCAAGTTGAGTTAACTTAAAAAGTGGTCGCTAATTTCCCTTCGCTGCCCTTTTGTAGCCATGGATCGATTCGTCACGTCTTTGTTTCATGAGCGGCTATTTGTCATGATAAACAAACGCCGACAATACAACATGGTGCAAGTTGCTTCCCACTTCAATTAAGAACTAAAAATACGTACCGTAATACTGTGTCAGGCTTCAACGTAAGATACTGTTCCGTGCAATAGTTGCCGCATATTAACTTTCACAGGTCGCCACCCACAATATAACTTTGGAATCGTTTGCATTGAAATTGTTTTCTTTTTTTAAATTTTATTCCACTGCAAATTGGAGGTGTCTAATGGTTGCGAGTTGGTTGTATTAATGCGATTATATTGTAGGTAGCTTTCTTCACTTCAATTCTGGGTCTGAATCCATAACCATTTATCTTTTGGCATTTCCAAATGTTGCAAAAGTTTTGACTGAGCCTGTAGTTTCTCTATTGCAAGGTTTTAACGATGTGTGAATAGAAAAGAGGTGGGGGGGAGAGGGGGTATTCATACGTATGGTCTATAGGTACGTGTGAAGTAATGGTTTTCAAGCAGTTTGCTCTGGGATAGAGTATATAACAGAGCGTTTGGGTCTCAAATAGGGTATCATTTTCCAGGAAATTGATAAATTGGTTGAAGATTTTAGCCTAGACTAGGGAAACCGGGAATTGCCACTAAAAAATGTAAAAAAATCAAATCGGCATCATATCTAGGATAAGGGACGGGGGATTTGAAGAGTTTAGTCCAGTATAGGGTAGCTAAATTCAGCTGAACTAACTCTGGTGTAGGCTAAGGGTTTCAGGGTCCCAGTGGCACATCTCCACCCCAAAATTCCTAAAGTACTCCCCTCCCCGGGCCTAAGGGTTATATTTATTTTGTTAACTCTGTGTATATGGTTACTCCATTTGTTTCTACTTCAACGGTAAGAATAGCATCGCAAGCAAATGCCCATCAACGAACAGCGACCTCCGAAGCTCAAGAAAACTCGAGGAAAATACTGAAGACAAGACAGAGGCCATGCTTGATATCCCAGCGAAACCACAGACTACAGTGAATACTTCACAAACAACCATTTCAACAACTGTTCTATCGTGCAACTGCAGAAAATAATTATTGTCCAGCTGTTAACAGTACCAAACTAGACGTAAGTTATCGCCGTTTGTTTTCGTATATGTTGATGTGCGAAGTTATTTATTGAGGAAACGCTATATGAGTAGCAGTTGAGTTATATTTCTTAGGTCAAAATGTAAGGCAAGACAAAAGAGTAAATAATCTCAACTTAGTCGCGAGTACGTTTCGCCATATTGAAACGGTAGAGAAATCTTTATCTTAAAAAGTCAGTTCAGGGTTACAAAAAATTCTAGACCGCGAGCGGTCCTCCTTCTTTCCTCGGAGCCACGCGCGGTGAGAGAAAAAGTAAAATTATGCGAATTAATTATTTTTTCTTTGCTTAACATGGGCTTCCGCCCTTGTTCCTCGCGCTTCGCCACTTCCCCCACCCCCTCCAACGCGTTTTCTCGATGTACTGTGTCTCACAAGAAAAATAAGAGACTGCTCGCAGTTTAAAAAAATTTATAAAGAATCATGGCTCTTTCATCCTTTACATTTGCTTCACTTTGCTTGTGGTAAAACCTCGTTCTTCCCTTTTTTTCTGGAGATTATATATTACGCAGATACTATGGCGACAATGTTTTGTCAGGCATTTTAGGAGTTACCCTAACAAGAAAGTTTGACAACCTGCTATAGAAAATAGCATGATTGATTGAAGCATTTGTTGGCGTTGCTAACAGGGAACTTGAGGTTATGTTCACAATGTAGCAGATAGATTTGACGCCGGCACAAAAACCGTACTACTAGTTCAAACATAAAAATGGTCATTTCGGCACGATTTATGTAACGGAGCAATACTGCGTTGCACCAATGTTGAAGATTGAGAGTCCTCGGATAGGTGTTTATAAATCGATGAAGTGACCGATTCAGCTCTAGCCTGTTCCAGGCGTTTAAAATTTGGAATGCGGCACAAAGTCAGAGCAGCTGGGAAAAAAAATAAGGAGGGAGAGGTGGAGAGAGGAGGGAACCTTCCTTTGCTCGGCTCAACCCACGCTGTTTTTAATTTCTCTTCACATCTTTTTGTGCTATCCACAGAAACTGAACGCCTGGAACAGGCTTACACGGTTCAGTTGACCTGGGTAATGACTATTTAACGAATAGATTCCATGTTGCAGTGCGCGGTGCGCCTGTTCAGTAATTCCAGATAACTTCAAAATGTGGCAAAAACAAAAATGCGGCACTGAGCTGCACTGAGCCGCATGCGAGTGTGTCACTGATGTTTTAACCAAATTTTGACGTCTTCTATGATATTAGTGAACAGACCCAGGGTTACATGGAATCTATATAGTTTACATAATGAGCAGAAAAGAAGCAACGACATACTTGCCTCGTACCGCTTTACTGTTCGAGGATTTGTCCTAAATTTTCAAGTCGTTCAAGAACTTGTCTCCGTATATTCTTTTTTTTTTCCTTATCTATAAACAGCTCCTAGTAAGCCATTTTTAAAAGGCTTTCACTTGCTTCAAACGAACTGCAAACAATTTCAAAATCGCGTCCATGTTGAACAAAAAAAAGAAAAGCAAGTCTCCACTTCATCCATCATGTGTCTGTACTCTAATATATCATCACCACATTGTAAAATAAAAATGCGTGATCAATACATGGATATTGTGATCAGTTAGATGGGTACATGATGGGCTCCTGGTACATGTAACTTGCGAACCAGCACCCAGGTATGAGATCTTGCGCAGGAGAATATTGTGGTCCACGCCATCAAAAACTTTTAAAAGATCAAATAGTATAAAGATAGAAATCTATTTAGCGTCCATGGCCAGTCCATGTCCATCCTTGTCATCCGTTGCGAAAAAGACAACAGGAGACAGTTTAAAAGGCCAAATATGAAGTTTTTAACAACAAATCTCGGGACCATTATATTTGGAATTTAAATGATGCGCACTAAAATTGAAAGGGTTTTACTTTTTAAATTGATAGCCCTGACGAGGCCTTTTAAGACAGTTTTGTTTAAAATAATACAAATTGTTTGACTCCCGTTGTGATCATGAGTTGAACGTTAAACGAGCTTATCAAAGAGGATTGATCATATATAATCAAAAACAAGGTTGCTTGTAGCATTTACGTCTTTTAATGATAACAAAGAAGAAGGAGAAGAAAAGAAAACACTTAGACACTTTCTCATAAGTAAGTAAACTTTATTAAACTCGGCCTTGAATATACTAAGGCCGATCTGTCGAGACCTTTCATTGATTATTTAATTAAAACTATTTTTTTGTTTAAACTTGCGTTTAATTTTTAACTGCATGTCTAAATAAAGAATGTCAATGTATATATCAATGTCTTAAACACGGCAGACATGCACCGGGACTGACTTTCACTACAATCTTCTATGAATGCTAAAGTGAAAAGAATAAAACCAGAGTTTTCATTTGCCGGGAGCGTTTTTAAGTTGTAATGCAAAAAGATTTTCATGGGGATTTGCGAGTCGGGGGTGTGTTCGAGCAACTCGCTCGCTTAGTTATAGCCATGAGATACCAGGAGTCTGATTTACATTGGTCTTCACTGTTTTTTGACTTTTGCTAACAATCTTAATCTTAATCTTCTTACTCCTCTTCTTTACTCAATACTTACTCGGCGGTGAGTCAGTAGTTCAAGCGTAGTAGCGGTTTTTATAGTCAAAGCTGGACATGTTTGGGTTAACTGACCGTAGGAATAAAAACAAGATAAACTCGCGGCCGTGTAGGTAATGTTTTGGTATTACTGAACATACATGGCTGCGATTTACAAGAAGCTACAAACCGATGAATAATTAAAACGCTTTTTAACAAACCCAAAAAGGAACTTCAAAGAGACTAATGAATGAACCAAGGTCAGCTCTGACATGAAAAACACGATTACGTATATGAAAAACTAACATCCGACCATGGCAAGAGAACAATATTCCTAATTAAAATGGCATTAAGTAAATCCGCGAGCTATGCAAACCTTCAAGTAGAAGTCTGAAAATCACAAAATAAAAAAAAGGAAAATGCCTATGCGCACCAAATCCAAACTAACCTTGACTCACCTAGCCATAGAAAAACGAAACTTAAAAGAAATACAAATCTTAAAAGTAACTATTAAAATACTTCACAGCAGTTGTAAAAGTTTTATTAAATTGATCTAAGCTGACGTGAGTTCTTTTGTTATAACAGTGCAGGTTCACGTTATCATTGGGGTTCTTAAATGCGTCAATTTCAGTCGAAATTCTCTGTTTCCAGACATTTGGCTCGGGCTGGGAAAAAATGTGCCTTAGTTTATTAAAATCTAAAAATGGTTAAACAATTAAACTTATAATGAAATTAAAGCTTAGCTACCCCAGTAAAATAGTAATTTACGCAAATCACAAAAATCATTATCAGTTTTACTTAATTTCCTTGGCTAAAAATAAGATAACGTAAAAAGAACTTAAAAAGGTAAGCAAGAACTATATTCCTGTCTCGTGTTTAACAAATTAAGATCAAGAAAATAAGAAAGAAAGATTTTCTACGTTGTCGAGAAATATACATTGGGAAGTACATTTTTTTGAAGGTAGTAAGTATGTTAATATAGCTGCATGTTTTTTGGCCGTAAATAATGAAATGGTTCTTTTTATATTTATTGAGTAGGGTCAAGATAAAATACCTCCACCTCATCAGGTGAGAAGCGGTAAGTCCCGGCCAGGATTGTGTCCCGGTTCTGCGCTGCAGCAGGAGCAGGGTAGGCCCAGCCAAGGCGTGCGTATGAGCGGCTGTTACTGTTGGCATTAATGATGATGTCATAACCAAACACTGGACCATACCATGACCACCTGTAAATTGCCCCGCCTGGCCTCCTCACCTCACTTACAAAGGGATCCAGTTCTTCTTTATTGCTAATTGAAAAAATAAACGCCTTGCGAGTGAAGCCATACTCACCAAAGCCACCAATGGACTCTAACAAACCAACAAAACGTAAGTATTAACTTTTGAGTAAACACTGTGGTGTAGTTACTCTGTAGTGTATTTTCCTTAGTTTGAATTTATTTATTTATTTATTTTTATTTTTATTCTTGACTTTAAATGAATTATCATAAACTAAAACAAAACAAATTTAATAAGAACCATGAGTGAAATGGAATCACACATTTTTTTCAACTTTCCTTTTTTTTCTTATTTTCCTCCCTTTGTTTATTGTATTGCTATTCCTTACAGTTAGTTATGAAAATGGACATAGTCTTTAAAGACAGATATACAGAGATGATGTATGATATACGCCAATGATAATGCATTTCTTATTTGCATTGACATGTGATGACTAACCTTTCAGACCTTTTCCTTAGGGATAAGGGAACCAGTAAGGGATAATTGAGAAAATAATTTTGGGGATAATTGAATTGTTTTAGGGAGTAATGAAAGTTCATCATGGTTCTACATTAATTATGATCTACACTTATTTTTCTCCCCTTTACTTTTATTGGTTATAGGATCGCAAGCTGGATAATAGGGTGGGAATATCTTTGCCGCCAAGAAAACCCATTTTACTATATTCGCAAAACCCACGAGACAACGGCTGCATGGTTATTGTGTTTTTGTTAGCACTCGAGAAGAGTCTTTGTGAAATCGCCGCTGGTTTATATTACACGCGTAAAAAGTCGCCTCTGGAAACGGATTAATCGGATCTTTGCAATGCCATAACAATCACAATGACTATTGCATCTTTTCAGCTACAGTTATACCTTCTTTAATTTTAACATGAATGTAACTACAAAAATTTGTGGCAAACATTTTATTTTCTTTCCCACAAAAAGTGCGCGGAAAGGGGCAAGTTTTTCCCCCAGCACCTCCCCCTGCGTGTTCCCTGACTTTTAGTAGTAACGTTCTTACAACGTTTAGGAATAAGGGATATCTCCTCTTAGATTTACAAGGATAAGGGATAAGAACCCCCTCCCCCTACCCACCCCCCTCTCCAACAGGGCCTCATTGAACCGATTACGGGATCATAACAAGTTTGATACCTGTTTTGTGCAGAAATGATCATAGCTGTAGTAGGTATTAAACTAGATTCAATTTACTAAACTTCAACTTGACTCCTTGGAGGGCTGTGAGGGGGGAGGAGTGGGGTACTCCCGTATTTTGGCTAGATAGGTATGTGACGCCCGAAAAAGTATGGTATTTGAGGGTCTTATTCTTCCATACTGAATCAATTTTTCCCTTGTTAGTGTTGTGTTCCCGCCGTTATCAGTTGGTTAACATTCAAGAGTCTACAGGTATAAATGCCCAGCTACACGAGAAAAAAAAAATGGTCTGTTAGCTGAATTTTACCTTAGAGTATCATGAAAGCGACTTACTGAAGACTTTTTCGGCGTTTCTTTACTCACGCTCTTTTCTTCGCGTGTGACTGACAATTAATTTACGAAAAGGCTTTCTGATCACGCAGGGTATGTGTTGCCTTTAAATCTTTAAATTCTTAGTTTGTGTTTTTTTTCCTTGAATTGGGTCTCATTTTGTAGGGGTGCGCCTCTCAGAGCGCGTCTCCGTAAGAACCGACCAGTGATTTCGGATAAAAAAGTTAATTTTCTTTATATTCTGGGATATTAAAGTCTTTACATAATTAGGTACAAAAATGCATTTTGTTTGACCGAAAATGCGAAATATAATTTTTTACGATTTTTTGAATATTCCGCCGGTTAGCACCGACGCAATATAGCCTTTGAAACTACAAAAATCGCCCACATTGCCGGCGCTACAGAAAACAAACAACTCGTTCAAGAAGCCCGATTTTCTTTTTAAAACATGTATACGGATACACCACTCCAGATGTCCTAGCCATATCACAGTTCCGAATTATTTATTCATTTTACCGGCACGAATCTAATTGTCATCAGCCTTCCATCAAAACAAGAAAATAGCTCAACTTTGAGGGGAGTTTAAAAAAGTGTGGCACCCTTCTGAACGTTGCTATCTGTATTAGTACAAACTAGAAATGATAGTACAACGTAAAAACGAATAAAGTTTTTGTTTTTTTTACGTTTTCGAACATGTCCGCCGTTATAATTAGACCTTATAATTAACGAACACTTGCCTTGTGCTTTGCTCGTAAAAGTCAACTTCACTTGATGGCTTGATGGATTTTACCTTGGTTCTTTTTCATTTTAAGGTTATTTCTTAATCGTCTGAGACTATATTCGCTGTTGATTCCGTGGTTATACTTGTTTTGTTGCAATGTTATCTGGGTTGTAAACCGTTTTGTAAAATGGTCGTATCTGCGAGCGTGACTGGTTTGTGACACCCGACCTCGAGGTCTTTGCTAAAAATAATTTTTCTTAAGGATCGACTCCTCAAGATATGGCAGTAAAATTTCTTGGGCAAATAAAACTAATTTCTTTGCAAATGTGACGCGATAAGACGCTAAGAAAGCAATTTAGCCCAGTTATCTACATGTATTTGAAATACGTATGCGTAGTTGTATGCGTGACTTTGTATTTCAAGCCCAGTCCTCGTGAACTGGACACGAAGCAGACAAGACGGTCTCAATGGGGAGGTGGCTTTTACGGCTTTCGGCTAAAATTTTGGCTCTTTTACGGCTTTCGGTTACTTTTTTTCAGTTACGGTTAACAAAAATGTTAAAAATTAATTCCTTTTGTTTCAAAGAGTTAAATATTAATAAACCTCTATTTTTGTGTCTTTAACGCAAAATAAAGATCTTAGGACCATCTCGGGGTGAATTTAGAGAAAATGTAAGGGTTTTCTTTCCCCAGGGACAAAGCAAACTGTCCTTAATAACGAGCTGTTGTTGTTGTTGTTCTTTTTACCATAGCGAAGGAGTGTACAGACCGACTGTCTGCTGTGGCCTTGGGAAAATCTACTCGTAGAGATTTTCGAGGTTAGACATATTCAGTATGTACGTTGCAGAAAGAAAGAAAAGGAATAACGAACCACTTAAAATACGAACTGATATTCGTCAGGGCGGGTCTGTTCGTATGTGTGAGACATAATTGATCATTATTTGGGCTGCAACTGGCTCGAAACTGTCGCCCTTTAAGGACGTGTCAACATCTTTTTTTTTTTTAGGAGCAACAAAAAGCTAAAAAATGATCATGTAACATCACTCAATTTTTGGAAACACAAGTCCCACTCGGTCCAGTAGGCTTTCTACTGCGCTACTTTGCGTTTTCACTTGCTTTGGAGGAGAAAGGATTGGTAGAGTTGCGCGGCCTTCTATGGGAGAAGTCTAAACGCCGATCCCCAAATGTGACCTCCAATCCCTTTTTCGACTTCTCTCCTTTCCGTGTAGCTTTAAGTAGCTGTAAATACCCATAATAAGGAGCATTAATGGGGGTTAAGAAGGGTGGGTGTAGGGCTCAGGTTTGGTACAAAGATAGTCATGTCTCTTTCGAGGTACGGACTTAGCTTTTTACCTTTCAGTTGAAAAAAAAACTACACATCAAGTCATAGTAAATGTAACAGTATTTTTAATGCTGATCAGGAGCCCATAACCTGTGCCGACTGAGTTGTCTAAGAAACTGTACATCCAATTTTACATAAAGAGAGGGTCGAGCGAATTTCTCTTGAACGTTTTCCTTAAACCTTTGAAAGGAATTGTTCCATTACGTGTTTGATTTTTCCGGTTATTTATTAGCCTGCGTAGTTTTGGTCTGGCGCGCAGTACAAGCTTATAAGGCGGGCGAGGGCTGTGAAACCGCGAGGAGATTGGGGTGGGAGCAATGCTCGTTCGCGCGAGCTTCGCACGACAAGACCGCCATTCTACGCAGGCTAGTTTATTTTATAAAGTAGTTCTGGATTTTTGCTTTATGTAAAATGTTCACGGAAGGTTTTTACAAACTATTTATTTTTTTCTGCATCCAGATTTCTAGTATTCTTGAAAGTCAAACTAATATTAATAGACATTTCGCTTTTAGTAGAGAAGATGCAAGTGACCCAGGAAACAACGCGGAAATTTGGCAATTTTACTTAATAAAATCAATTTTTATTCTAAAAGTATTTTTCGACACCTCGCATCCTACTAGGGAATAAGACTGTTTTGAGTTTATTTTGCCATCTGTCAATCAACCCGTCATAATCAGTGCAAGTCGCGATTGTGTTGGTCCGAAAAAATACTTCTATGCTATGAGTCGATATGAGTCGGAAGTCGAGCTCATCATTGTCGTGATACAGCTATTTGCAGTACTTCGACCAAGACGCAAAAACAAAAATTTGGGGAAAATAAGCATGCAATTGGCCAGAGAAAATCACTCAGGGAGCGAATGTACATAAGACAAGATGAAGAGGCAATGTATTGTAGCATTACAAAAATTTCTATTCAATCGGTAATTGGTATTACAAATAATTTTGAAGCCTTATGCACATCATTGCTCAGAAACTACTCGTGGTATACCCGTCGCACTTGGATTGAGCCACAGTCTGCAGTCACTGGCATGTCTGTCGTAAATACGCATAGAATGAAGTGAACCTTTTTAGTGGTGATCCGCATTAGCGCGGAAGTACATGTTATCTCGGGGGATACTCCTGCGAATTCTTGTTGGGGGTGTGCCGCCCGGACCCTTTTTCAGGCCAAAAAAGGTCATTTCAGTTTGACGCCGTTTTTCAGGCCTTGCCTCTTAAATCCATACCTGTTTTTAGACCTGGCCTCTATGAAATTAGGTCGTCATTACTTAGAGTTGGAACAACAACGAGATGGAAAAGAATGAATGAGGCAACAGACATGGAAAAAGAAATATGCATTGCTGAAGTAATAGCGCCAAACGCTGGGTATCAGCGATTTACATCATGCGCTCCATGGTCAGATCGAAACAACAAAAATCCTTCCAGTGACTTGCTTGTTCTTTTGTAGGCATAAAAATATGCGCTAACAAGGAACCTTAAGACCCAGGTTCTTAGTCTTAATGCTTACCGCTACCCGATGGAAAAGCTACAAAAGCTACTGAGCTCTTCGGATGCATAATTATGTGGTAAGTAAAGAGGGCAAGAGTTCACGTTTCGTGGCCACGGCCCAGGTACGTTAGCCCTTGCCCTTGTGAATCATTTTAAAGAGCTGTACACTTTTTTATTAGTTTTATTGGGTTTCATTACTTATACATAATCACGTAGAAACGTTTTAAAAAAATCCTCGACGTCTTAATCTTGTCCAATGATTTTCCGAAAAACAGTGGGGACTGGAACGAACTTTTGTAGCGTCACCTCATTCTCTCTTGGTAGCGTTTTTAGTGGATTCTCAATTTTCTTCTCTAAAATGTGTTGAGCCATTTTTTTCAATGCATCTACGTTAAACTGAAGAAGTAAATTTATCGATATGTATGGCGATTCAAAGGCAATTACCTCTAACAAATAGCGGAAAAAATTTGAATGTCACGAAACAACAGTGTCACTCTCGCGACCAGCAACGAGTGCCATTATTTTTATCACAAACAGGACAAAAAATTCCCTTGGAGGACAAATGATAAGAAAACAATATTTTAGTAAAAGCGATTGCTTAATGCACAATAGTATCCCGGCTCTACAAACCAAGAAGGACATTACAAACAGCGAAGTTAAAAAAGGAGAATAACAAGGCAAGTGTTCGTTGATTATCTTGTCTTCGAAATTTCTGGAAATTCAAACGGTGCTCATATTCGAAAACGTGAAAAGCACAAAAATTTTATTCCTTTTTACGTTTTACTATCATTTCTAGTTTGTATTAATACATAGCAACGTTCAGACAGGTGCCACACTTTTTTAAACTGCCCTCAAAGTTGCGCTATTTTTGTGTTTTGATGGCAGGCTGATAACACGTGCAAGGAAAAAGAGTCTTGCCGTTAAAATGAATAAATAATTTGGAACTGTGATATGGCTAGGACATCTAGAGTGGTGTATCCGTATATTAAAAAGAAAATCGGGCTTCTTGAACGAGTTGTTTGTTTTCTGTAGCGCCGGCAATGTAGGCAAGTTTTGCAGTTTCAAAGGCTATGGCGCGGTGCCAGCCGGCCGAAAATTCAAAAATTGGTAAAAAATTATTTCGCATTTCCGGTCAAACAAAATGCATTTTTGTAACTAATTAGGTAAAGACTTTAATATCCTAGAATACAGGGAAAATTAATTTTTTGATCCGAAATCACTGGTCGGTTTTACGGAGACACGCCCTTAAATGACTTAAATAAGGTATCAGTTTTCGTTTCTCTCATCCTCAAGTAGGGTCAGTACTTCAGGCCCTCGAAGACAAACATCTATCCAAAAATTTATGGGGGTACCCCACCTGGAACTTCACACACACCGACTTGATCGAAAAAACTAAAAGTGTAAACAACAAAAGCAAAATATGTAACTAGGCACAATAACCAATGGAGATGGATTCCTCGAAGTTATAAATTTTAGCGGCAGAAATAAATAAATGAAATGAAAACAAAATAATAAAGCATTTCTTTTTATCCCGTAATAATCCAATGTAAATAAGAACACATGATGTCGACTTGTTTGACTTGATCGTTTTACCAAGGTACAACAATTGACATACCTACGACACTCGTCACAATAGCTGGGACAGTAGTGGTATTTTCTACCCCCTTAATGTTGGATTTTGCGAGTTGGAATGACAGGAGCAAAAAAAAAACAACAACAACACTGGGAGGGAAGGAGCACATTTTTTTTTTCAGGAAATGGGTACAGCACGGGGTGTCCCAACGTAATGTGACAAGGATTGTAGGTAAACATTAGGTATAACGGCGGGGCTCTCGCGCTCGCGAAACACAAGCAGCCGGGCACTATGGATAATAAAATTTGGTTATCTGTGCATTCAAGAAATTTTAATTGTGACACAATCTTCCGTCCTTACGTCCGCCCTTTCATATTAGCGCATGTAAAATGTCACACTCACTTATTATAAGCGTTAATCTAAGGTATATTCGATTTGTGATTAACTTGATATTAGACATCCACTTGTCAAAATAGGGTATCCGCTAACAACTGTCCGTATAGAAGCCTCAGGTTTACAGCTTTCTTCAAAGGCATTACTTAAAAGATCAAATGAGAGCTTCGTTTTTGGCCCTCGCTAAATCTACATGTTGCCTTGGTAAGTGCCACTGAGGAAATAAGAATTGGACTTAAATGAAAGAATTAATAACCCTGTAATCAGACATGGCCTACTGATGGTGAAGAACGCCGCGGGTAAAGACGACGTATCTAATATACTCCATTCGACGGGTATCCCGTCAGGTAATTATAAAGGATTTTACCGCAAAAATTGCTGTGAGTTATTATAATACGGTAGTTTTCACTTTTTTGCGCGGGTATAGTCTGGTCGGGTACACAGGAAACCAAAATGTGACACCCACAGGCATTTATGTCTGATTTTGGCAACATAGGTATTCTTACTAGCTTGAGTACGCTGATTTTGAAAATATTGTTGCCAAACTCAGATCTTGTGCTAAGGTGGAGTTTGGGGATTTTCATTATGACGTCATTGTCCAAATGAGGGGTTTTCTCTCCTTTAACAATTCCAAATTTAAAAGAGACAGAAATTCTTTTAAACCGTTATTAGTGTTTTAAAAATTATATTCTAAGAATTTCTGACTGTTTTTACGCTGCTTATATTAACATACAGCCATCAAGTGACACTCGACCACGCCCTCTTATAGAAAAATCACCTTATCACTTGTATATTTATCACATTGGTAGTCTTTACACTAGAGCCTAAATAAGCTAAGAAATATTTCAAGAGTAGCAAATTTTAATTACTTCAAGTAAAATAAAGCTTCACACACAACCGATTCTTTTTTACTTCAGGTTAACTTAAGGCTATTTTCCCATGCAACATAATTATGATTGATTGACGTGTTTCGCCTTTCTCAAACCTCAAGGGTGCTTACCATTTGACAGAAAATTTCGGAAATTGCGGATGGATGGTAAATGGTAAGGTCACTTTTCGGAAATTCCAACCAAAAATTGAGGAGTACGTTTTGATCATGAGGTAGTCCGTTCATTCCAGTTGGTACAAACCAAACGCACTGTTGCTTACCATCTACCAATTTCTCGGTTCCAGACGCATTCGCCCCCTTTTGGATTCAAACCTTAACGGATGTGGCAACTCTACGGTAAACTGGTAAATCGCTTACCATTATGCTTTCGACACCCCAGCCAGATTTTTCTGTCAAATGGTAAACACCCCAAGAAACCGCAAGTAACCGCAAGTCAGCGAAGTCGGTTTTAAGGATGCTTTTCAAGTCGCTTAAAACTTTCTTGAATCGTTTCAACTTTCCAACTTTAATGAAATGCAAAGTAAAGTTACTTGAGATTTTACTTAGGCCTTCACACACGAATTTTTGGTTAAGTAAAACTTAGCAGCTCTTAAGTCTTACTTAACGGCCTAGTGTAAAGACAGCAATTATTTTTTTGTAATGTACTTAGGAATACATATACAACTTTTTGTTTTTCTTGTGCAATGTTGAATCCTAGTTATTTCACAATTCACTTTGGGCCTCAAGCTTGCTAAATGTTTTGTTTTATTTGGGCCTCTTTGTCAACCAGGTACCTGTGTTTCGTGGAAAGTGTCCTTTCCACCTAGTAACGAATGGTTGATGTGAATGTTATTAGTAGTGAACTGCATCAGGAAGTTGTCCGGGTTTAGAACCAGTTAGGACAACGGTGCCATTTATCTCTTTCAAGAACAGACTGTATCTTGCCCCAGTGAGGGGTCCAACTTAAGGATTTGGCTGTTGTAGCTGTATATGGCCCGCCTGGTGCAGTAGATCTACTAACAGCGTTAACTAGGAGCGTACATCATAACTTGTATGATGTAATCCCCCATATCAGTGCTTAAGAATTCGAACAAGTCTCCAACTTTTCTCGTGATGCTTTCCTGTTGATAGATGACTGCGATATGTTTGTATTGGTTTTTTGGGCTAGCTTATTATATCCCGGCCATACGTCAGATAGCTGGAGTATTTGGTTTACGCACTGCAGTATAGTGGCCGAGCTCAAAGCAGATAAAATCATAACGATAACTGCCTGTTGAGATTCCTCTTTCTTTTTGCCAGTCTGGTACTAAGTGCTCAGACACTTTTTGTACCTTCCCGGCCCTTTGCTGCAATGAGATCGCTTACCTCAGCTAGGCGGAATTTTAGTGCATTATCCAGATTAGCCTGAATTTCAGACGATTACTTCGAGTCTTTTTTTTTACTCTGTTAGCAACGTCTGAATCGACCGGCCGCTAATCCCCTCCAGTGTGACGTCACTACCCGAAAACCGGGTAGTGTTTGATTGGTTGATTCTTGTCCAAACATTCGCAGAATTATGTATAGTTACGAGAAATTTTAGCGGGATTGCTGGGTCGGATGCCTGGCATGTTTGCGTGAAGTTAAAAAAGTTCGAAAGCGAAAATTTCTGGGATTTAAGTCTTTTAATTTCCACCGTCGAGTGTAATGATTCTGTTTAACTTTTTTTTCTTGTTTTTTTTTTCTTCTTCGTTAAGCACCAAATAGCTTCTTTTTTTAAAGCAAATCGTTGTGTTTTTGAAGTGTTCCGTGTGTGTATTTTAATGAGCTTGTTTTATCTGCGTGATTGCGATCGAGTTTGAGTATTGAATTAAACGTACAACTTCGTTCAGAGTACTGCATGCAGTTGACAGTTTAAACGTTAAATATGAATTACATTCAAAAAGAGTAAAGCACTTCTGTATCATGTAGACATTTCCAGACGATATTTCTTTGTTTGCCGGTTGAAAATCGTGTTTTACTTTTTGCATGACTTAGGAATGAGTAGTGACGTCACTGGACGGTATTAGCGGCCAGTCAATTTAGACCCTACTGAGGAAGTAAAAACGACTCGAAGTAATCGTCTGAAATTCAGGTTAAATCGAGATAAGATGATTTAATTGCTGGAACTGAATTGCTTACATTGAATGATGTAAATGATTTGAGCGCCTCTCGGTGTTTTCGAATTTTTGGCAAAGTACAGAAAGACTCCATTGTACAGGTGCGACACTTCTCCTACTACTTCGTGCTACTTGCCCTTTTAATGAAGTGGAGGCCGCCTCGTTGTCAAAAGAAATACTTTTTTTCTGCGTTAGGGGGGATTATTAGGGACCTTAAGACCTAGGACGGCGACGGCAGAAAAAACGTCGCTGAAAAAGTGAATTCGCGTTCTTCCAATCTTCATCGAGATTATTGCAAGTCACTAACTTTGTCAAATGTAGGCGAACCCTCCTAAAGTTGAATTCCTAAGAACCATATCCAAGTTCAGTAAGAGAGAGGAAATTTCGACGTCGCTTGTGTACTTCTTCTGTACATCGTGAAATTAGGCATTTTCACGTCGTAGTCGTGCAGTGACGGCAAAGAAATGTACAAAAAAGCGTGATGCACGTGCAAAACTGTTGTTTTGCTAATTAAACCTATTGCTTTTGTTGCGTTCCCGTTGCCGTCGCCGTCGTCAGATCTTAAGGTCCCTATTTAATAGCTTTTCCCACAAAAGCTCAATTTTCACTTTGTGTATGACGTCACGATAACAAATTTCTGTGCCGTTGTGAGGCGAAGTGAGTTATGAGTGGTTAGGTTTTCCACAAGCTGCTCGAGATTTTACAAAACGTTTCCCGTAATTTCTCAAAAGTTGCTCAAAAAAACAAAAAAAAGTTGCTTTTTTGTAACGAGAGTTGCTTAAAAATTGCTCGAAAAAGAACGAAAACTTTTCTTTGGTCTGATTCTAAAATATGCAACTTGTACAACAAAAGTAAAATTTCTAAGCACTTTGTGCAATTTGCAGCGTAACCAGTGTTGCTAAATAACTTTGTCCTAAAAAAAAAACCAAAAGTCTAACCAGCCAATAAAAATGTTGATATGACCTTCTTCACCCGAGACACAAGTCAGTCGAGTGTCAATCTTCGTCCACCATTTTGAATGTTCTCTAAAAACAGCTGACCTAGCAGCCCGGTTACTTTTATCTTGCGCCCATGATCTGCCCCAGGAGGGAGGATTTGGTTCCATTTTTTTTTTACAGGAAATTCAGAAATTGTTTAGTTAAACATTGTGAAATATGGAAGAAAGGCCAATTTGAAGCACTAAAAGCTGCTCCGATATCTCAGAATTAGAAGAGAACTCGAGAAGTTGCTCGAAGTACGAGAAGTTGCCAAAAAGTTGCCGAGCAACTTGTGGAAAGCCCTAGGAGTGGTTATATCTCTTACGCTTTCTCTTTTTATTGTCTCTTTATTTTGTTCATCAAAAATTCTTTTCCGTGCCTTTGTGCATCTAGCAGCTTTGCACATTTCTCATCGGTCCTTGTGGAAAGCCACTCCTCAGCGTCTATACTGAGAGAGTCGCTGCAGCTCCTTTTCTTTTTAGATGTCTCCATACTCCTACATTTTATTAAGCAGTCCGCCTATCCTAAACTATTTGAACTTACCTTTCAAAGTTGCCTTGGTCTTGTAACGTATTTAGTGAGAAGGAAAGCGCAAGAATGGGAAGGTTTTTCAATAATTGCCAAGAGCACGTGCAATCAAAGAATGGCTTATTTTAATATACTTTTTAATTATCTCAGTAAAATTATCGCGATAAATATCACATCTTTAGCCATAATTGTGTGAATTTTATATCAAAGGGTGTGGGGGTCAATTGTCATGTGACGCCTCGAAATTCGCAGAAACAGCGTTTCATAAATTCTCTAAATGGTCTTTAAAATTGAGACCATTTCTGGATCTATTAAATTTTATTATTAGGGAAGGAAAGAAAACTTCTTTTTTGGACAGTGATGTCATAATGAAATGCCCCAAAACTCCACCTTCACAAAAGCTTGAGATTGGCAACCGTAATTTTCGAAATCAGCGTACTCGAGTTGGTAAGAATAGCTATTTTACTAAAAATCACACAAAAATGCCCGTGGATGTCACAGTTTGGTGTCCTGTGTAGCAGACTAGTAAACTTTGAGTGAATGCTATCATGGTCCATGCATTTTCTCTCCAGGAACCGGTATGATAGATATTCAACATATCCTAAATTTTACAGAATCGTTAATAGGTAACAACCAGCCTCCCTAGTTCTTACAGCAGTAACAATTGTTAAGAAGACTGGTCTGGCTCAACTTTACGTTTTATTGCTATTTGCTTTTAAACTGAGCAAGCAATTTTCTTACCCCAAGGAATGTCCGTGTAACCTCCAAAAACGTATTTACCCTTTTTTATTATGGTAACTGTGTCTCTTTTTCCATCGCAGCGTCTGTGAAACTGTATACGGACATCCCAGCCGTGCAATGTAGCCCGCCAGCACAGTAGCCAGTGGGAATTGTACCCAACCGCAGGCTCCAGAAATTTTCCCAGATGGTACAAATACGAAGAATTTGTTTTCAATATGTTTGAGTCCATGAACGCTAAAAATAAGAGGAGAGTAACGTAAAGACCTTAAAGATTGCAAAAAGAAGTAGTTTCTTGTGTTTTACATGTTTTATCGCTGCTGTAGCTACCTGGTGTCTTTAAAGATGGTACAAAAAGGACTGACTAAAAACCCTCATCGGTCCCAACGTCAGCTTCTTCCCCGTTGACCCAGAGACACAACGCTTCATTGGGGGTGGGGGTAGACATTGGGGTGCTTTTTACTTACATAATTCACGTGAATCGATTGTCCTGGCAAGCTCTAAGTTTAAGACATATAACGTTGGTGTTCAGCCACCGAAATGAGACCAGCATTAAAAGCTACTGACAGAAATAAAGCTCATTTAAACACAAAATCAAACGTACAAACGATCATGGTCCAAAATAGCTGGCAGTTAAATTTCGAAGGCTGCAACGTTAATTTGCAGACAGAAAATGACGCTTTTTCAACTTGAATGCAACAATGTTGCGCAATAAGTTAAGCGAAAATATTGCCTGTATTACTTGACCTTAAAGATCATGTCGAAACTTCATGTTCTTATAAAATTGAAACCTAAGGAGTTGCGCAAACCTTTCTCTTTTGACTTGTTTTTTCTTTAACATAGCTATCAAGGAAAAAGGGAAAATATCCGCGATACCAATGATGACGATAATGACAATGATTTCATCATATGACACACCGCGATCACACAGCGGCCTTTTTGATCAGAGGAATCTACAATCTCAATGTACAGAAGATATTTACCTGTGCAATTAACGCCGTTCCAGAAATATCCTGGCTCTCTGCAGATACATAAGAAGGATCCTTTGGTGTTGTGGCATATGGAGCTGCCGTTACAGTTATGTTTTCCTGTTGCACATTCGTTTACGTCTGAAAAACAGGAGGCGTGACTGTTGGATACTATTCAGTTTGCCTTTTTTCTAAACAGTCTAGGTAGTCACTCCGATGATTACAGACGGAATTGATTCCAATCTGAGTCCTATTTCTAGTCCTATTACCACTATTAAATGCTGTTCTAATTATGATTATAACAGTGTAATGGGACAGTGCCTGGGGGTAGTGTCCGTCATATATACCTAAGTTATGGTACAATAATCACGCCATGCCGCGTGATTTCTTCGATGTTGTTGTTGGACTTCAGCTATGTGGTCTCCTGACTGCACTCAGTCCTATTTCCCTTATTAAACTATATAAGTATTATTATTCGATTAATACTATCTTTCAAATTACTATTATTATTATTATTATTATTGTTATCATTATTATTTCTTGCTTTGTGCGCTGACTGATCTCATACCTTTGTACTTACTAAGGGAGCGAGTCATAACCCATAAAAAAACGACCCTTAGATTTCGACTCCTTACTCTAGACCTCTAAAACTTTTCTTAAAATCGTTTCCCTTCCTAGTGGCGTAGTTTTTTGGGGGTAATGAAATACTAATTATTATGTCCAACTTTCCAGCCAGTTCTCCAAGTTCTTCGTCACACTTGCGAATGATCCTACAACAATCTCTATCTCCCGCACAGTTTTCGTGTTCCACATCCTTGGAATTTTTTGTTTAAGCTGCTGATATTTTTTAACCTTTTCAACAATTCTCTTATCCCCTGCTACAGCAATATCGACAATGGCGCACTTTCTCTCCTGTTTGTTTACAACCACATGATCATGTCTATTGTAGCATTGATGACATGATCACATTGGATGTTCATTATCCCACAGTAGTTTAACTTCACCTTTTTTACCCACACTGTCAGCCACGTATTCGTACCACTTATCGTTCTTTTGCACATGTTATTTCTCACATAACTTCCAATAAACTACTTTTGCAATATTGTCATGTCTCTGTTTATATTCCCTTTGGGCTAACTTTTTACATTCACAGACAATATGGTTTACACTCTCGCCACATTGCCTACACAAGGGGGACTCACACCGTCTTGCAGTTAACGTATTATCAGTTACATGGTTGGTCCTGTGAGCCTGTTCCTGGCCTGCACAAATAAGTGCTTCTGTTTGTATCTTCGAGTTTGCTTTTCGTAACCAGCTCCAAGTTTTCTTACATGTGTTGTTCCGGGTATTCCTCATAAAATTGACCATGCAGCTTTTTTTCCTTCCAACTGTCGAGTTTCAGCTCATTGTTCCAAGATGTCTTCAATCAACTTAACTGACAATTTCCTCACTTTCAATACACCTTACCCCTTACACCTTGCAGTAAAACGTCCCAAGAATTCTTTACACACCACCCAAAACTGGTTTACTCACCTCTCACACACCCCTCACAGCATATTAGTCGGTCCGACCTCAATCCTCCCTTGATACATACAACCTATCAACATCTCCTTTTTGAATGGAAAGCACCATTCATTGTCAACACCTTTCTCGTCATTTTATCCAATGTTTTCAGTTCTTCGTTTGCCATCTTACCTGCTCCATACTTGATCAGCACTGGCAGCTGCGCATTTGTTAATCGCTATAACCTTATTCTTTCAATTCAATCTTGATTTCAACATTAGTTTCAGCCTTCTTTTTCACTCTCTTGAATTTTTTTCATCTCGTTTCGTTTATTAAATCCGCCTCAATAATCCCCAAATATTTATACCTTCTTTCACCGATTTCTCCCATTATCCGCCCATACAAAAGAGTTATACCCTCAAACCTTACTTTCTTTTCCCTTGTCATTACCAACACAGTAGTGATAGTGAGATGAAATTAAGCCCCGTTGGTGTCGAGTAAGTGTCTAGTAAGGTTGAGGTAAATCATTGATAGGCATAAGGGTCGAGTACTTGATGTCACCCATTGTTTTAACCTAGGAAAAAAGTGGGTTCCTTCATACTGATAAGTGTCTTCCTCCACATCTAATGAGCGTCTCTCTAAGACAATAGGAACAATAGGCTGGCCTAGAATTGCCCGGTCTCTTTTAACCCTGATGATTGGCTCATGCAGAAATTATTATCTGTTCAAAATGAAAGCGCTCAGTTGTTGAACACGCTATCGTTACAGAGTGTAACTGAAAAATCTTTTTAATCATTTCTTTTTAAATTAACATGACTAAACACAGGATATAAACAAAACTCAAGCACAAAATTCAGGTATTCTATCTCAAGGAGACGACTAACTCTCAGTGCTTAGTGAGCTTATGGCCTTGTCATTTTCACACGTCGTTAG